AGTCCCAGGCCCTGAAAAGTTCAACAGAGGCCGTAGGTCATAAAGCTAGGAAATGACAGAGACAGGATTTGAACGTAGGTGTGTCTGATTCCAGAGCTCCTTATTTATTCTTAATTGCTTCAATAACTATGTTGTGAGTAACCACAGTGAGTCACGTGCTAAGAATTTGCGTAAGGTCTCTGCCCTCCGTGACCATCTAAGGTGCTATTAAACGAATTCAAAGGCGGCAGTGACTGACTCCGGGGAACTCTGAGGAGCTTCACAGAGGAGGTGCCACCTATGTTGCCACTGGAAAGGGACTAGGAAGTTGCCATTTGGAGAAGATGGGGAAGGACATTCCAGAAAGAGGGAACAGCATGTGCAAAGGCATGAAGGCAAGAAAGTCAATGACGTATTCAGGGATGCAGTGTTGTCCAGCATAGGATGTAGGGGGTTTGATTGGGTGAGGAGTGTGGAGCGGGAGGGGACGAATCTAGAAAGGGACATTGGGATTCCATTGGGAAGGTCTCTGTGCCATGCTAAGGGGTTTGACTTTATTCTATCGGCAGAAGGGAACGGTGGAAGAATTAAGTTGTAGGAAGTCCTGGAAGGCCATGGTGGCCTGTGGAGGCCGGTTCGGATGGATGCGGCAGGAGGGGTCCTGGCTGGAGATGGCTCCAGCGGCCGGGCCAGGACATTGCTGCTCATCGCCCTTGATGTCTCCCATTCACAGGGGCTTGTTTCCACTTCTGTTCGGTAAATTTTGGTTGTGAGCTCATCTTTTGGAGATGCCTCTCCCCAGAGGGAACCTGTGCCCGTCTCTGCTGGGCACCAGGGTCTGCTGCTGCTCTGGGCCCACGCAGCCTCCTTTGCTTACCCCTGGCCCATGGCAAGTGTCTGCTTCAGTTCTCCACCTTGTCAGGCAAGGGCCTGTCAATCATCTGGTCCACCTTCTGAAACGCCTGCGGATTCCCCCCTTTGTGTATCTTTTATGCTGGGGTTTAAAAGTAAAGTTGACGACCTTTCCTCTTTCCCCATGAAAAATGAATGATGCCTGAATATGTTCTAACCTTGTTTCCAGCTCAAAATCTAGAGGCTTTGTTCTTCAAATGGGAAGTGAACAAACAACGAACAAAACCCCAAAGCTTCTAAAACAAAATTTGATCTCAGACCTATCTATAAGTTTAAATTTTCTTTAGGAGAACATTAGGCAAGACCCAGTTAGCAATAAATACACCAGCTCTGGCTGGTGTGGCTCAGTTGGTTGGGTGTCATTCCATCTACCAAGAGGTTACTGGTTGGATTCCCGGTCAAGGGCACATACCCGGGTTATGGGCTTAATCCCCAGTGGGGATGGTGCAGGAGGCAGCCGGATGGTGTTTCACTTTCACATCAATATTTTCTCTCTCTGTCTCTCTCTCAAAAAATCAATAAACTATTTTTTTTAAAAAAAAGAAACCAATAAGTAAAGATCAATTAAGCAGTAATTGTAGAACAGCGCATTGGCATTACTGATTAGATGTGTTTGTGTGAAGGAAATCTCCCATTGTTATGAAGCAACCTCATGAATAAACTCTGCCCTTTACACCCAGGGTTTCAAATGGAACTAGGCATTAGCCTGTTCAGGTGTGTGCACATGCAGAACTGATGGGATGTCTGTGTAAGTGCACACGGGTGTCCACTGTCTCCTCTGTGTGGAAGAGTGACAGCTATTCCATAAGGATTTCTGGAGCGCTTACAAGGGGTCAGGGAGTGACACAAGGATGGCACAGACTCACCGCACTCGCTCTGGGCCTCACAAAGGCCGCGCGCAGCCCAAAGGGGAACATGCTCATGGCACCACAGTGCCAGGCGTGCCCAAGAGTTAGCATCAGTGTTCCTGTTTCCCGGAGGTGCCCTCTGTTCCCGCCAGGACCCTGTTCTGCACATGGGTCTCTCCTCTGCACCCCCAGTGCAGGAGGCGTGGGTGGGCCAAGGGGCTGGTGGAGGATCAGGTCCGCCATATTTAAACCCCTTGAACTCTAGGTTAAGAGTCAAGACGTGTGTGCCGTAACCGGTTTGGCTCAGTGGATAGAGCGTCGGCCTGCGGACTGAAAGGTCCCAGGTTCGATTCCGGTCAAGGGCATGTACCTTGGTTGTGGGCACATCCCCAGTAGGGGGTGTGCAGGAGGCAACTGATTGATGTTTCTCTCTCATCGATGTTTCTAACTCTCTATCTCTCTCCCTTAAAATATATTTTTTTTAAAAAAAAAAAAGAGTCAGGACGTGTGGCATTAGGCCCTTGTTCTGCCGTCAACTTGCAGTGGGATCTCAGGCAATTCATCCTTCTCTTCGGGCCTCTTTCCTCGCCCGCACAGAGGTATTTCTAACGTCCGCGGTGGTTCTAACATGCCACTGCTCTGGGCTTTAATATCCTGCGCGTCTCCCTGCTCTGTTTATTTTTATAGTTACTTTGCAGTTAGCTCATCTTTCGTCCACTTGTCTGTCCATCCGCCCATCAGCGAATACTTACTATGCGTCCGGTCCTGTGCCAGGTTCCCCAACAACATTCTTCATTTCCAAAATCTGGCATTTTGTTGCCTCTAACCTGCTACACGCTGGAAAGTTAAATTTCTGAATTCATTGAGAATTTGGTATGAAAAGTAAAGGGAATGATCAAACAATGCCCGTGTGACAGAATGGCGAGTAGCTAATGATAATGATGACACTGTGATTTAGTATGTGATGAAAATATAGAATAAAGAAGATGGTCCCCCTCTAATTTCAAAGATGTACATGTATAAACACAGGAACTGGAAGGGGGGGAATATATGAACATTAAATTAGTTACATTTAAGGGACAATAGATGGTTCTTTTCCTTTTGAATTTGCTGTCATGCTTGTAGGCAGGCATTCACTCAGCAATGTTTACGACGCCTGCTGGTGTCAGGCGCAGCGGGGATGTCTGGTTCCTGCCCTCCTGGTCCCGTAGAAGGAGATGGCGATGCACACACATACACTGCCTGGGCGGGGATGGGCTCGGGCAAAGGAGGTCCTGGAGTGTTTGTAGCGCTGAGCCCTGCAGCTGGCGCCTCTGTGAGACAGCCACAGGGAAGCTATTTTGGTCCCAGTTACGTGAACAGAAGTCCAGCAGGGTCTTGGCATGAACATACCTCATATCTACTGTTTCAACTATTTCCAAGTTACGCCAAAGATCAACAGCAGAGGGTTATTTATACGTTTATTGGAGACGGACTCCACAGTCCTTGTGGATGGACGAGAGGCCTGGCTGCCATCCACACCGTTGCGTCTCTGCTGGGCCTGTGGCTCTCCACTCCCCACTGAGTTCACAGTAGTTTTTGTTGGGAAAACCGTCCCCAGTGAAAGTGAACTACTGCTAA